CGTGGCTTGTCGAGTGGCTGGCTTACGTGTGGGCTGAGTTCGACGCCTGGAGCGAGTCACTGCGGGAGCAGCTTGTCTTGTCCTGACACACTGTACAGTCACACACCGCGAGAGAGCGAGAGAGAGAGTCAGAGTGTTCATCCGCTTGTCTGATCGTGTTGGCTGGCTGGCTGGCTGGCTGGCTGTGTCGCTGGATGGCTGTGTCTGCCCTCGCACCCCTCCTACCCCTCCCCCTCCCCCCCCTCGCCCCCCTCCCTGTCCCTTTCACCCACATCACACGCACGCGCACACCCATATGTATTTTTGTTGTCTGTATATTTTATAATACGACGTATGTACAGACAGACAGGCAGACAGACAGACAGCTGTGTGTATGTTATGTATTCTGCCCGTGTATCTATGGCTGATGCTGTAGTAGCGGGCGGTGTGGTCTTAAGATGCTGTGGTGTGGTCGACGGCAGGCAGGCAGGCTGGCTGGCTGGCTGAGACATCTCCGGATGGATGGACGGACGGACGGACGGATGGACGGAGGCATGGACGGAGGGAGGGAGAGAGGGAGGGAGGGAGGGAGCGTTTGTACATACACTCACATGTACACACATACATACATACAGCTTCTTCACTCGCCATGGCATCACACCACACCACACCCCATCACATGACATGACATCCCATGACACCCACCGCATGACATTTTCCGCGCGCGGGTATGGACATGAATACGATCCATGAGCTAGCTCAGAGAGAGCTAGAGAGGAGTGTGTGTGGTGCGTGTGTGTGTGCATGAGTGTGCATGCTTGACTGAGTGACTGAGTGAGGGGATGCGTGTGATGTCGTTTTTCGAGGCAGACAGGCCAGCCAGCCAGCCAGTGAAGAGGCAGTAAGACGTGTAGCTACAGCTAGCATGTCAGAGAGTGCTGACGACGGTGCCGTCCTCTCTTGTTATCCTTGCGGTCTGTCTGCTTGTGCCGCGGCTGAGAGAGAGAGAGAGAGAGAGAGGATCTGATAGAGATTCGGCCTTTTTGCGGCGTATGGATTGATTGATTGTGTGGTGTGGTGTGGTGTGGTGTGCGTGTGTGCGACTTCATCAGAGGCCGATAGGCAGACAGACAGACAGACAGGCAGATTGCGAGCTGTCGAGCTGGCGGTAGAGGGAGGGAGAGAGAGAGAGAGAGAGAGTAGAGTGCGCATCTGCACCCGGCTCGTTTCTATACGGTTCACAGCACACTGACAGTACACACACACAATACACGTAGGTCTGTCTGTATCGCTGTACACATGAACTAATTCGCTACACACACACAGAGACACACCTGTATGTGTGTGTGTGTAAGTAAGCACATGACAGCGCAGCGCAAAGCGAGATAGATAGCCTTAAGCCTTTTTGTACCACTGAACTGACTGAGTTGGGGTGTAGACAGACAGACAGGCAGGCAGGCAGGCAGGAAGCTGAGAGGGGAGAGGGGGGCTGCCGTGATGTGATGTGATGTGATGTGTGTGGGTGATGTGAATAGCTAGCTGAGCAGGCACTGCAACACACACCACACAGACAGGGGGAGAGAAGGAGAGGGCGGCGCCATTTAAGCAGACAGACAGACAGACAGAGGGGACGCCTTTCCGTCTGTCTGTTCTTTGCCTGCCTCCGTTCACCCGGCTCCCTCCGTCCGTCCGTCTGTCCGTCGCTTCCATCCGGTGATGTCTCAGCCAAGCCCACCTGCCTGCCTGCCGTCCTGCCCTGCCCTGACCACCGTCGTAGCTTATCTAAGCTGAGCACACCGTAACATGCGTAGCACATCCATCCATCCATCCACACACACATACTCGTACACAAATATGTATTGGATCGATCTGTATTTCGTATTTTGTAGATGTAGATAGATAACCACACGTACACATGCGGTGGCCACGTCACGTACCTACCGTTGTGCAGTGTTGTGTTGTGTTGTGTTGTCTTGTATATGCTGTACAGTCTCATTATTATTATTATCATCATTGTATTGACTGTTTTCTCCCCACCTGTTGTGTGTCTCTGTTGTGTGTTCTCTGTCTGTTGTGTATCCCCCCTCCCCTCCCCGCCCCTCCCCCTCCTCCACATATAGGTGCCTTTCACCACGAGCAGCTAGGCATCCTCAACCCACCACCGCAGCACAACCTCGCCCTCCTGCCCAGGTCGGCCGTCATGGGGACTGGGGGCGGGATGGCTCTCGTGCGAAGGCGACCACAGCTGCAGCAGTATCAGCAGCAGCAGCAGCAGCCTGGGGGCGGTATGGGTATGTCTGGCGGCGGTGGTGGGAGGGCGGTTCGTGGAACGAGGCTGTGGGTGCAGCACGTGCCCAACACCGCGACCCCGGCGGAGTTTGCCGAGTTCATGGCCCAGGTCGGGCGGGTGGTCAGGGCCGAGATCGTCACATCGCAGAAGGGAATGCCCATCGGATGCGCGTAAGCCAATAAAAACAATCAGACAGACCGAGAGACAGACAAACGAGGGGAGTGTAGGCTAAACGTGTGTGTGCCACTCTTTCCCCGTGTCTCTGTGGGCGTGTGTGCGTGTGTGTCTGACAGGATCTGTGAGTACGAGACGGTCGAGGAGGCCGAGCGTGCTGTCCGCGAGCTCAACAACCAGGTATTCAAGTGCAACAAACTTTACATCCGCGAGGTGACCACACACACACACGCGCGACACACGCACAGACACACAACAAACAGGGAACAATCATCACACATTGTGTGTCCCTGTCATGCCTGTCCTCATGTGTTCTCACCAATCAGAACGACCCCACCAAGGACCGCGGCCCCGGCTACCACAACGCCCAGACCACCGCCGGCACCAGCTCACTCACACCCGCCCTCATGCCGCCCTCCCCCGTCCACCAGCAGCCATACATGCCCCCCCCGCAGGCCCAGCACCCACCCGCGCCATACCCGCCCCCATTCCAATACGCACACGCGCAGTACGCACCTCCACACACACCGGCCGGCCTCAGGCCACCTCCCCGACCACAGCAGACGATGGCATTTGAGGCCCCCGCGCCCATGCAGCCGCAGCCGCAGCCGTATGGCTATGCCCAGCCTGGTGGTGGTGCTGCTGCTTCTGGAGCTGGAGGCACTGGAGCTGCCCCTCGTGCGCCGTACGGGGGCCCGCCTTCCGTGCCGCCCTCGCGGCCACATATGGCTGCCAAGCAGGAGGCGGGCTATGCGGCGAGTGGGGGCGGTGTCGCAAGTGCTGCTGGTGGGGGGCCTGTGGCGCAGAGCAAGAGTGCTGCGGGCCGTCAGATACTGATCAAGGATGTAAGCGAAGCGAGTGGCCGCATGGATGGATAAACTGATGAATGGAAGGGCAGAAGACAATGGTGGCTGGTCTGTCTGTCTGTTTGTGTGTGTGTTGGTCAGGTGCCTGTTGAGTTGAGCATCGAGGAGATAGTGACGGCCTTTGCCCAGTGCGGCGACGTCGAGAAGGCCTCCAAGCTGCTCGACTCGGACGTACGTCAACACACCAGACAACACACCCCACCGAATCAACCATCTCGAGGTGGATACCTGGTGTGTGTGTCCTTTGGTCCTTTGTGTGGTTGTGCTGTGTTCAGGGTCAGTACGATGGCAAGGTGCAGGTGCGCTTCGCGAAGCCAGAGGCCGCACAGAGTGCCGTCGGTAAGACAGCCACAGACAGACGCAGGCAGACAGGCAGGCAGGCTGGAAGCCACATGCATTCGTTGATTCTCTCATTCCATCCATGTGCTCATGGGTCTCTCTGGTGTGTGCGTGTGCACTGCAGAGCAGTACAATGGTGGCGATTTGAACGGCAAGACCATCACTGTCATGAAGGACTGAGTAGCTACTCGAGCGGAGAGACACAACAAGCAGGCAGTGGCAGAGGGGATGGGCGACAGACAGACAGAGTGAACTGAGGCCAGACCAGACGGTCCTCCTGACCAGACAGACAGACCTCCTTGCTTTCTACGTGTGTCCGTGAGTGTGGGTGTGAATGCATGCAGTGGCATTGCATTGCGATTGATGAGCATCATCATCCTGGACGGCTCTTCGTTCCTTCATGACGGATGCATGGGATGGTTGGATAAAAGCTAGCTAGGATTTGGCGGGCGGGCGGGCGACTGACTCGTTTCTTTGGACAATTTTATTCTGACACACACGGCACGGCACGGCTCGGTTCACTCACTGCAGCCAGCCAGCTGTCTGTACTTCCAAGATGCACAATTCAATCAAAGCAAACGTAGCGGTGCGAGGACGTGACGTGCGCGTGTGGCTGAGGGAGTGGCTGGCCGGTATCTATGTGTGGTGTGTCTTTTGTGTGTGTGTGTGTGTGTGTTCCTTACTTACCAGTACTGACTATCGCCAGTGTGTGGGCCCGACTGCCTGTCTGTCTGTCTGCTGACTGACTGACTGACTGACCAACCATGGCCTGCCTGTCAACCCATGCATATGCGTGTGAGTGAGTGTATTTCCTTCATCTCATCTCGGTCAGTCGGTCGGTCGGCGAGTCACTCACTACTGTCTGTCCGATTCAGCACACCCACAGACAAACAAACAAGCAAGCACGCACGTTCTAGCTAGTTAGCTATCTCTCTCTCTCTCTCTATGAACACCCGAAAAAGGCTCCTCAATTGATTGTGCAATCAATTCGTCTTCCCGTCGTTGACCGGCTATGGCTATTCACTAACCTAACACACCCACCCCCGCAAGCATCGCCCGCCCCACAGACATGCACACATGGATTGATTAGGCATCCCACATCCATCCATCCATCCATCAGTTGTCAGCATACAGAGCTATGTTGTGCGCCCCGACGAGCGCCCCGAGAATGACACTGGGCAGAAACAGCCAGCCAGCCACACTGTCCTCCAGGAGCATCTGCACCGTCACGTTGACCGACGCCGCCATTACCGCCACCATCAAGCCCGCAGACCACCCGATGGCGTGCCAGTCGTAGAAGGCCGTCCGCCACACGTCAATCAGCGTCAAATACAGCAACAGCGCCTGCATTGGGTCCGAGAAGACGTCTTGGTCCGTCCCGCGCCACACTCGGACGGCTGCGAGTGTCTGCATGGCTCGCAGCGGGTGCCACGCCAGGAAGGCCCAACCGGGCAGGTCGAAGAACCGCCTCCCTGACCGCTTGAGGGATCGGTACCACTCCCTGTCTGTCGCTGCTGCCATGTCCCTCGGCCGGGTGATGGAGTTGCGGACGCCGAACACCATGGATGACCAGAAGGCCACGTCGAGCAGGAAGCGGACCGCACCATCGGCCTCTATGTCCAGGTACTCGCTCAGCCGGTCGTAGAGCGCACCTGTTAATCGATCGGCCCGACACACACACAGACAGTCACATGAACAGATGCACACAGCAATGGTGGCAATTGCCTCCCAGTGTGTTCACTCACCAAGTCCGAGCAGCATGCCGAATTCAGCCAGGCCGACGAGTATTGTCTGCCTTAGCCATACGAGCAGCTGCAGCTGCGAAGGTGCCGGCCGCCTGAACAGAACCCGCCCTTCACATGCCTCCAGCGATGAATGAACAGCATCACGACACCCACTGCTGCTGCTGCTGCTGCTGTTGCTGCTGCTGGAGGCCTTGGCTGATGGCGCATGCGACGGATCTGACGGGCATGGTGCTGTTGGTCCTGGCCGCCTGCTGATGCCTGGATTTCCCACTGCGCCTGATGCGTGCCTTCGTCGTGCTGCTGGCACCGAGGAGCGGGTTTGATGGACAAGGACGGCGACGAATAGAGATCTGAGGCATCGAGAGGGCAAGGAGTTCATTCTGGTTGGGAGATTCGGTTTCCATTCAAACGATGCGCGCTGTGAAAGGGTTTAGGGTTTAGCCCTAAACCCTAAACCCTAAGCGCTGTGAAATGATCTGCCCAAAATCTGCGGCAGGGAACGTCCGTGTGCACACAGAGGACTGCCTGCTGGACGGTCGATGACAATTACGTGAGGGAAGAAGTCACTAAATGAACTTTCATCTCATCCGCACAATCGATGAGAGGCGGTCGGTCTCTCTCTCACACGCGCAGCACACCAGTCAGTATACACAACGCTCCCTCAGAGTCGCCTTAACCTCACAAAACACAACAAAGTCAGCCACTCGTTGTTCCATTCTCATCACTGCTCATTCATGAGGGCTGCAATTCCTTGGCCTCGTCCGCTGTCTCCTGCTGTGCGGCCTTGGCGGCCTCACTGGCGCTTCGGACGTCCTGCGTGATGATGGGAAACACATAAACGGCCGGGCCAACCTGACACACAACACACACACGGTTGACCAGGTCGATTGATTGACACGACAGACAGATGGATGACACGTGTGCATGTGTGTGTGAATGTGTGTGTGTGACCTGGAAGAGCACGTGAGGCGCCACGACGCGGAAGCCAAACACAGGACCGACGTTCTCCTGCTCGAACTTCATTATCGCAGACCTGTCGGACAACACACACACACGCACACCCAGAGAGCATCATCATGATGATAGATAGAAGTCATATATCCCCCCCGCCCCGCCCTGCCCTGCCCTTCTCTTCTCGCCCACCTGGGCAGCCGGCACTTGATGGGAATGCCGGCATGGCTGTATCCCACCAGCTGGGCAATGTAGGGCACCACATCGCCCTCATTCCATACCCGCAGCCCCCCGTACGGCCGCGCCACTTGCTCCAGGCACCGGCAGAAGGCCAGGTTGCCCGTCGCTGGGGCGGCGAATGTGACGAGCCGCGGCCGCAGGTCGTGGAAGTAGACGGCCGCCAGGTGGGCCAAGGCGCCGCCCAGCGAGTGGCCCACGAAGACCACCTCGTGCGGAAAGCGGCGATGGCCGCCCGCGGGGTCGGTGTACGAGTAGCGGTTGAGAATGGACGAAACCTCGTCGCGAATCGACTCGAACGCCATCGCAAAACCCCTGCATTATCGCGATCATGAAGGCATCGCATTCATGAGCAGAAAGCCCTTTGTTCTGCGTACGTACCTGTGGACCTCCATCGTGTTGCTATCTGCCGCACTCGCAGTCGGCTCGGCCTCCCTCTCCTTGGCAAAGTGCGCCCGGCCATGCCGGATGCCCCTGAACCGCAGACCCAGCGACGCCAGCAGCGACGCGCGCCGCGGCTCCCTGGCCGCTGCATCCATGCTGGTGCTGCCGTCCTTGGCTGGGGCGCCTGGATGGTGCGGGTGGTGGGCCATCCGGACGGGCACAGAGACGGGGATGCGCGAGCGGTGGCCTCGCGGGACGTTTCTGGGCTTGAATGGTGCCGAGATGAACTGGATGTCGGTGAGCACGTCGACGGGGTCCTTGGTGCCCCGAAAGCTGACCACAGTCAGGTTCAGGGAGGGGGACACCCCGATGACCTGAACGAATGGGTGAATGAACATATGGAGAAAGGGAGAAACACGAACGACACACCCATCCAATCTATCAAATGCACCGATGGCTGGCTGCCGCCCCCTCACCGACCGCACGCACCGCGCATGCTTTGTCGGAGACGACGGTGTGCACGGCGACGTCCCCCTTGCCCTTCTCCACCTCAATGGCCTTCTTCATCAGCAGATCGGCCACCGCCCTGCCCCTCAGCGCCTCGGCCTCCTCCTCCTGCTGCTGTTGAGATGCAGACGCTGTTGTTGTGCTGGCTGCGGCTGCGGCTGTGGGTGTGTGTGCCGGCTCTCTGTCGACCACATTGGACAGCAGGGGCATCATGGGCAGAGGGAGGGAGGCCGCCACTCCGGTTGTCGACTCGCCAGACCCATCGGTGGCATCCACAGGCACCGCCTCAACAGGCACCACCTTGCCGCTGCTGCTGCTGCTGCTGCCCCGGCCGTGGAGGGAGGCCAGCAGCTGGGCCTTCTCGATGACGGCTTGCCTCTTATCGTCAGACGACAGCACATCCACCAGCTGCGGAATCGACCCAATCGGCACGAAGCTGATGCCTGACGTCATGGTCTGGTTGGCCAGGCTCAGCTCGAAGCTGGGCAGCTGCGGTATGGCCATGGGCAGGTCGGCGTCTTTGAGCCTCAGGTTGTATGGCGAGAGGGCGGCGAGGAGCATAGAGTGCAGCAGGAGGGGGTACTTGACCGCCGAGCATGAGAAGGACGACTCGGTGGGCCCGGGGAGCGCCGCGTCCGCCGAGGCGATGTACCTGCATGCACAGCACCAGCCCGTTTGTGTATGTCTGTCGATGTATCTGTGTGTGTGTGTGTGTGTTGCTGACCTCTCGATGAGCGGTGTCTGCCTCCGGAAGAGCCTGAAGGTGCTCTGCCACTCGTCGACGGTAGCCGCATGGGCCACCCGAGAGTGCATGATCTCCCCCCTCACCTCACCCTTGCCCTCACCGCCACCGCCATCGCCATCGCCACCCGCAACACCAGCCACCGGCTGCTCTCGCCCACCAGCACCAGCAGCAGCGGCAGCGGCAGCAGACAGGTCCTTGGCCGTCTTCTCGAGCAAACTCTCGAGCGCCCTGCTGTCAGCGTCTTCTTCGAGCTCGTCTGCCGGCGTGATGCACGCGCCGTCGACGTCGTCTCGGATCACCAGGGAGGGCACCGAGTCGTTCCTGTCCGGCCGTCGGAGGCGTGAGAGTCTTGCGAGGTCTCTCCCGATCCAGGTGGATCGCCAGTTGGAGATCTCGAAGCGCAAGGCCATCTTGAGGCGGTTTAGCTCCTCAGTGGTCAGCCGGTGCAGCGCCGCTCGCTCACGCCGCCGCACCAGACGCCTGGGCAGAGAAAAGACACAGAGGGAGGGATGCATAACTGTTGGGCAGCCAGGGGGTGTCTGTCATTACTTGAGCCTAGACAGCCCTTTCGGGCCGCTGCCGACCCATTGGATGAGGCGCCACGTGCCAGACGGTTTCCTATTGGCCGCCGTCTCATCTAGTGGGCCGTCCTGCGGTCTCTGCTGGTGTTGTTGCCTTTTGCGTCTCTGCCATGCCTCCGACACAGCTGCCCTCCAGCGCATGATGCCGCGAAAGACACTCGCGAGAAAACGGCGCACGCCATACCGCGCCCTTCTCGCGCGATACCTGCACAACGACCAGAGGAAAAGACAGGAGCCAGCAATCATCACGTGGGTGTTGTGTTGGTCGCTGGCTGTCGGTGTGTGTGGCTCTCACCCGAACTGTCCCGGCCTCGCGCTCAGGTCGTCTGAGAGGCCGGTGAGGCTGTCTTTGGAGACTGCGATGTCCTCGAGCAGCATGGCCTCGTGCGATGGGATGCGATGGACGTTTTCCTCTGGCTCGTTGAAGAAGACAATGTGGGGCGGTGTGTCGTTGTGGAAGGGGGAGCTGAGGTTGCCCAGCTGGTCCAGCAGCGAGAGCTTCAAGTGGATGGCCTCAGGCACATCGGGGCCGCGCTCTGTCATCTGGTGATGATAAGGAAGGCCACCAACGCAACAGCGCAAAGACGATGGCCGGCTTTGCTGGTTTCTCCGTATCTCTCTCTCTGTCTGAGTGTATGTAGTGTTTGCCCCGACCAGTGCGATTTCGATGAGTTCTTTGATCCTCCTGTTCGCCAAGAAGTATCGACTCGACAGCTGCCGGGCAATCGGGGGGCCTTCACGCTGAGCCACCTCACAACACAACACAACACAACACCATACACACACATACACACACGCTATGCATGGAATGAAATGATGTGACGATGAAGGAAGGCCGCCTCCCTCAGCAGGTGAGCTCACCCTGAGGACATCCAGCACCCTCTCTGGCACGGGATTAAGCAGCGAGATGCCCCCATCAGTGTCACCGCCGTCCGTGCCATCCCCCTCCTCTCTCATAGCGGCACTCGTGTTGGCCCGCAGGATGCCCTCCAGTGACCCCAGCAGCGACTCAAGCGACGGGCTCTCCACAGGCAGCACAAACGCATAAGGCAGGGTCGCATTGCTGGCCTTGCTCAGGAGCACCCCGATGCTGTCGAGGCCCTGCAGACTCCACGCGTCGCTCAGGTTGGCCAGCGGCCTCACCAGTGTGGCGTTCATGAGGGCCTGGGACTGGTTGTAGGCGGACGTGGCCATGAGCCATGTCACATTCTGCAGGCTGAGGACGTTCTGCACTGCGTCCGCCAACCCACTCGTGTTGCCCATCAGCAGCAGCAGCAGCGAGTCCCCGGGCAGCTGGGCGGCGAGCGAAGCCGGGATCTGTGAGAGACCCGCCAGCCGGCTGTGGGCATCCCAGAGGAAAGACGTCACAGGTAGAGTCAGGTTCTGCAAGCCCTCGTCGGCAACCAGCCTGCCCAGCGCCTCTGTCGACAGCTTGCCGATAGACCTCAGCTGCTCTTGCGCCTGCGACCCGGCCGACTGCACCAGCCGCGTGATGTTCTCCGGCATGCGCACATTCATATCAGTGACAGAGGGGAGGGAGGCAGCAGCGGCAGAGATGTTGAGCGACGGGAAGATTGGCACCAGGTAGCCCCAGCTGCCCTCAACAGGATCGCCTTCTCGCCTGCCCTCGCCGATCTCGCCCTCAGGCGCAGCCATGGTGGTGGTCACGTTGAGGGCATCGGCACTCTCAGCAGCTGGCAGCAGAGCCACCGCCCAGACCGACTCATCGTCATGTGCCTCAGGCTCGTTGGCCGCCTTGTTCTGCAGTGTTTGGGTGGAGCTGTCGTTGCTGCGCCGTCGCTGCAGCCTCTGGGAAGTCTCGAGCAGCCTTAGGAGGATAACAGATGGACGAGCCGTCGCTGCCGCTGAGTCGTCTGTCGGGTCGGCAGCCAGCTGAGTCGTCCCGGGTCTGCGAGGATGTGTGGCTGCACCAATGCGGCAGCTGCGCCTCTGTGGCTCCAGACGAAACGATGCGTGCGCAGCGATGTGGAAGCAGAAGGGGCCGCGCCGCTTGTAGTGCAGAGCGCTGGCAGCATCAAGGCCAATGAGCAGCTGGTAGGAGAGCATTAGTATGATGTCCAGGACGGTCATGGTGACATAATCACATAATCAAAGTCGATGACTCATGAATGGCCGTCGTAAGGCCATGCCGCGCACTGCCTCCACACGAGACCGTCCATCCTTCCTCCTTCCTTCAGTTTCACTTCCTCTTTCCTTCGTCTGCGAGCTTAGCTCGCATTCGAGCTGGTGGCATGTAGAACGCTTCCCTGGCGTTGATATGGTCGGATGCTTACGTCCCAACCACCCACACAGCGCGTCAGCAAGACCGGAGCGATGGCCCCGAGGGGGGGGATGGTTCATTTCATTGAGGAAGCAGAGAGTGCAGTGCTGGGACCCACCTCACAGGGCATGACATGACGGTGGCTGTGTGGCTGTTGTGTTGCGTGTTTGCAGGTGGAGACCATTAGTTTGATTGTAGTTGAGTTGGTGACAGGATGAAGGGCCACTACCTGACGCTCGGCATATCGACCACCGCGTCCAAGGACGAGGTCAAGAAGGCATACAAGAAGGCGTCACTCAGAGTGAGCGAGGGAGGGAGGGAGGGGGTGCATGCGATGGATGTCTGTGAGTGCAGGCTCATCCTGACAAAGGTGGCAGCAAGGAGGCGTTTCAGAAGGTCCAGGAGGCCTACACGGTCCTATCGGATGATACGCAACGCCGCAGCTATGACGTGCGAAGTAAGAGAAAACCAAAACACACCAACCAACCAACCAACCAACCAAACAGACAGACAGGCAGACAGACAGACAGGCACGAAGGACGGACCACCACTCATATCATCGGTGTCGGTGTTTGTTGTCGTCTGTCTGTCTTCAGTTGGGGTGAACATGCCCCCACCCCCCCCACCTCCACCTACTACTACCCATTCGGCAACCCATTTGCACATGCCTACAACTTCTACTACTCACCACCCCCGCCCACCCCCTCCCGCACCTGCCCTCAGGCCGCGTCGTCCAGCGGCCGACGCACCACAGCCCCGCCCCCACCCCCGCCCCCTCCCCCCACTTACACCCATGCGTCACCTCCCCCTCCCAGCCCTGGCCAACAGCAGCACGCACACGCACAGGCACCGCCGCCGACAGCGCCTCCGCGTGCGAATCGCAGTCGACGGAAATCGACTGGGGGGACGTCTGCAGGGGCATCGGGAGGCGTTGGGAGCGGTGGGCGGCCGGAGCATAGCGAGGGCAACAACAAGATTGGGTTCGGCAAGTATGCGGGCAAGACCTGGAAGTTTGTGGAGGAGTAAGAAAGAGCTGATGCAAACAAAAGGAGATTGATGTGATGGACACACACTGACTTGCACGGATGCATATGCATATGCTTGGTTGCGGGCAGGAACCACCCCGACTACATCGAGTGGTTGTTGGGCCGCAAGCGTCTCACGACCAAGTCGTCCAAGGGCAAGGTGGGTAGGGGTGGGTGCGGCTGCACAAATACATGCACCAGGCGGCAAGGGAGACACCCATCCTAGGATGATGTGTGTGTCCTTCAAGGCGTTCAACCGTTTCTTCGACTACTGCAAGGCCAAGTACGGCGGAGGGCGAGGCGGGGGCGGGGGGCGGCGTCGCACGGCGGCGCCCCGCTTCTGTGGCGGCGGATATGACCCGTACGACGAGTGGGACGAGGAAGGGTGCAGCTACAACTATGACTACGGGGACTTCATGGGCTAGCGCGTCCACTCACACCACACATGAATGGGCTGGATGGATGGATGGATGACCGAATGTGTGACGGACAGACGGCAGAACCTTGGTGGGTGAGGAGGGAGGGAGAGATGGCAGATGGCCCCTGGCTGCCCTTTGCTTCGTTTTTTTGGGTGCCGTGCCTGATGGATGGGCTGCTCCTTTTTGCTTTCTTGGTGTCTGTCTGTCTGTCTGTCTCGTCTGGCTGTCCATCCCTCTCTTGGGTGCAACCAACCAACTACACACACACGTGCAGGTGTGGTCTAGCTACAGGGGGGGAGAAGGGGCGGTCTACTCTGCCTATGCAATCAGACAATCGGCTGGGCTGCTGTGCAGATCTGTACAATGGCATGGCGGGCGGTGATGGCACTTTTTGATCGATCCGTGTGGCAGATAGACGAGGCCACACACACATGAATTGAATGCACACATGATCCGCTGTTCGGCTGCCTGGCCTGGGTGTCTGAGTCTGAGTGTACGTCCATCTTTGGATGGTCGTGCGATCGAAATGTTGCACGTTAGAGGGCTGGAAGGGGTGGGTGGTGGTGGTGGATTTGATTGTGCGACGGACGATCAACGAATGGCTTGCCCGCGCATCGAAAGATGATCAAAATTGCACGGCGCACACAGGCACCGCCCCGTCTGTACGATGGTCAAATCAATGCAGTCCACCATGCGCACACAATGCAGCAATCCATCTGCCACGGCATCCACCGATGGCCCACGTGGCGCATCCATCCCATCCAGTCATTGGCATCTCTCTGGGGCGATCAGCCTTCTACCGCCCACCGGCCTCTACAATTCTACGTGCTCTCCTCTACTGCGGCATGATCTGGGCGAATCGGTGCCTGGTCAGCACAAGGCGGGTCCACACACACACACACACACACAGACGCACCAATGTCATCCGGGCACTCGATGCATGCATCTTGTGTGTATGTGAATGTCCTCCCCACTACGGCTCACTTGTGCTCTCCTCTACTGCGGTATGATGCGGGCGACGCCGTGTTTTCCCAGGAAGGAGTAGGCCAAGGACATTGCGATGGGGAATCGGTCAGACAGCCGCGTGCGGCCCCCAATCTCCGCCTCGTTTGTGTAGGTGATGTGGCCGGAAGCCACCATCAGAGATGCGGCGACGATGTCGCCTTCCTTCATGCCCTTGAGGATGATGAATCGCCCCCGCTCGCCACCCGTCTCCGTGATGAAGTCGATGGTGGTGTGCCCGTCGATGGGGTCCGTCAGCAACGACCGAAACCGCTCATTGTCACGGCCTACTATCCTCCGAAATACCTTCTTCTCAACCACCCCCTTCTGGTCTGACTCACACCACTCCAGCAGCACCATATGCTTCATGAAGGCCGTGAATGAGGGGACGAGGAAGCCATCGTAGCGGATGGGCGGGTTGTGGGGGTCGTATGTGCGACGGCAGGGATGGTGGGGAGGGATGGCGGACAGCGGCACTGTCTCGAACCGCCACTCGTGCTCGCCGCTCCCGATGCGATACCGCTGCCGTGTCACCCCACCGTCCCCCTCTCTATCCTCCTCTTCGCCCTCCTCGTCGTCATCCTCGGCCTCATCCACCTTTGTGATCGCCAGGCTGGTCCCCTTGTAGTTGAGGAGGTGGCCGAATGTGCTGTACTGGCGAAGGGCGAGGGGCATGGTGTGGAAGTCGGCCTTGGTGGGCAGGTGGGCCGCCATCCACTGAGGCGACATGATCAGCGGCAGGCCAGTCGAGGGCGTCAGCTTGTAGATGTCAGCCAGCCGGATGAAGTCGGGCCACTCACACCACACCGCCCCGCCATACTCGAGTGCATAGCAGCACTGGCAGAGATGACAGAAATGCGACACATGAGGGCCACCACCACCAGCAGCGGCCGGTGCGTCACTGCTGCTGCTACTGGTCGGAGGGGCAGGGGTGGGTGCCGCAGCATTGGCCGTGTCTGCTGCTGTCCGGCCCACGTCGATGAGGCCGGTCAGCGAGTGGCGGCTGAGTGCGTGTCGATGCGGCGCTGCACGAAGGCCTCATTGACGAGTTGGCTGCCGTGTGCCCTGCTGGTGGGGCGGGCCGAGCAGACGGCCTCGTCGATGGGCAGGCACCGGTAGATGACGTCGCGGCAGACATCAGGCGGCAGGCCGTCGGCCGAGTCGGCGGGCGGGGGCGGCTTGGCCCAGCCGATGGGCCGAATGGTGCCCTTGACGCCATCCTCGACGTCACGCAGTGCATCTTTAGCCGACGAGAGAGCAGCGAAGACGCTGCGCCACTTCTTGGTGAGCAGAGGCGTCTGCACCAGACACACACAGACAGACAACCGTGGAGACAGTGACGGCTGCAGTACTCTCGTGTGTGTGTGTGTGGTTGACCTGTGCGGCGACTGTTATGTTGAAGAGCTGCTGCACACCGGCAGCCTCTCGTGAGACCTGCAGGCACCGCACACACACACACAGTGGATGAGAGCACACCAGCAGTGAGGCCATTGAGCCTCTCATGCGCCACGTGCCTGATCTATGTGTGTGTGCAGCGATGCGATGCGCTCCTCCAGACGAACCAAACCCTCACTGATGGACTGCAACACACCCACAGACACAGACAGTCAGCACGATGATGGACGTTTGTGTGCTCTCTTGAGTGAATGCGTTCGCTTCTCGATTAATGCTCACCGGTGTGTTCTCATTTGGAGCGGCCGAGTCGCCGCCTTGTGTGCGGGGACGCTTCGGCTCTCCTTCAACACTCATGCTGGAGAACCTGAGCTACTGTCATTGAGATCACGAGGAGAAATTGTATCCGACAGACCACGCCGATCGTCGAGACTTTTCCAAGGCGATCTGGAGAGACCATGGCTTTGCAATGGAAGGGTGTCTTTTTGAGTGGGGAGATGTCAGACTGCAGCTCACGCAGACCTTGCCTTGTCGTATAAACCGTCCTCGAGCACACATGAAGAGATGGGCAACATTGGCGGCGTGTCGGGTCACGGCGAGCACTGGGCAGGGCAGAGCTCCGTCTTTGAGCTCACCCCCCTCGAGCTGCTGCAGGTGCGGCAGGAAGTCCAGACCAACAACCGGGCGGTGGCGGAGCTTATGAGGGATGAGCTGGAGCCCGCCTACCAGGCCAAGTGGAACGAGTACCAGCTGGCGCTGTTCCGGTAGCAGCAGCTGCAGGAGTTCATCAAGGGGCACCTGCCACCCCTCCCTGACAATAGGAGGAAGCAGCTCGATGCCGCCATACACAAGCTGAAGCACCAGCCTGCTGGTGTGCCCATGGCCAAGCGGGACATTGATAGGATGACCTCATGTCGGCGAGCCTGCATGATGTACGTCGGCAATCTGTGTGTATCCCTGTCTGTCTGTCTGTCTGTCTGCGATTGTCTGTCTGTCTGTCTGTCTGTCTGCGATCAGGGTGGACGAAGCGGATGCGTGTGGTGCTGGATGCGTGGATACAGTGGCGGCAGGAGAAAGAGACGGCCGAGGCCCTCAAGCCGCAGGTGGACGTCCTGTACACGAGGTATGACGCCGCCGTGCATATTGCCGCCGAGTGGGAGAGGGAGATCCTCGAGACGGACATGCAGATCAAGAAACAGGAAGAGAAAGACGGCAACGAAAGAAAGGTAGGGTGGGTTGGGTACCCAACAGCATGACCCACACAATCGAAATCGATTCAAATATAACATAGATGGTGTCTCCTCTCCGTTCCTTTATGCATGCAGGCCTTCGAGCATCTGGCCAAGACCATCGAGTTTGAGGGCAAGCAGCACGCCAAAGGCCGCTACTACCAATGCAAGTCAGCCAAGGAGCGAGTCGACAAGCGGCGGGCCCAGCGGGCCAAGGTGGAGCGGCGCCTCAGCCGCGCTGCCAGGGTGCAAAAGCCGCCCGACACCATTCTGGGCACCCTTGAGAGCTATGTGCGGGCTGGGCTCGATGCCGCCCTGGACGTGACAGAGGGCAAGCAGAAGCTGCACCAGTCGATGGCAAAGAAACAGAAAGAGATAGAGAAGGAGCGGAGAAAGGACGAGAAAGAAGCCAAGGTGACATGACCAAAGCGAGACATGGCCACAGAGAGAGACACGGTCAGTCTGTGGATGCAGGCGGCCAAGGGCAGCAAGGCCGGCGGGATGAAGAGTGAAAGTTCGGGCACGTCTGGCGGCTCGGCGAAGAGACGGGGATCTAAGGAGGGGGGGAGTGGCGCGCGGAGGACCACAAAGGCCTGGATGTACCAGCTATGATATGACTTGCGCACGCGGTGACGTGGGTGTGGCATTCCGATTGTGTCTGTAGGTTTGTCTCTGCGCTGCTCGCGTGTGGTGCGACGATAGATGTGGTCATGGTCATTGAGGCCCCTTGTGTGTCATTATGGCTCACACATAGACAATCTGTCATCAGTAGACGGTGCCATTCGTTGTATGTCTTTTTCCACGTTTCTGTCAGTAAGGACATCATCCTTCATCAATCCCTGTCTCCTTCTGCCCTGCCCCAGTACACACACAGGCGGGCAGGCAGGCAGCTATACAGACAATCAAGCAAGGCACCACACACGGACACGTGTGCATCAGTATCCACACACAGTCACACACACAAGTCACACACACACACACACGCGAAGCCCTGGGTCAGCAAAGTACAGCAGCACGAGAGATCAGTCACTTAGTCAGTGGAGCAAAATCGCTTGGCGAGACAATGAACCCGCCCAATCCCACCCAGCCACCCGCCCAACCACCTATCTGTTCTCGTCTATCTATTCAGTCCTGCCGTGACTGCTTGCGGCTGCGAGGCCTGGTGTGTGTGAGGAGGTCCGTCTGTAGCTGCCGGTCGATCAGAGACCGATAGGCACCGTTCTGAGCTAACAACTGGGCGTGGGTGCCCTGAATTACAGCAAGACACAGCAACCATGAGATAAGACATCCCCATGCCATGCCACGTGTGTCCGTGTCTGTGAGTGCGGTGCTACCGTTTCGACGATCCGTCCAGAACACATGACGACGATGCGGTCGGCGTCCTTGACGGTCGAAAGCCGGTGTGCCACGATGACCATGGTCATCTTGGTCTTGGAGTGCAGCAGGTCGAGAGCTTGCTGCACCGACGCCTCGCTCTTGGCATCCAGCGCACTCGTCGCCTCGTCCAGCAGCAGCAAAGTTGGCTTCCTCATCAGCGCCCTTGCCAGCGCCAGTCGCTGCCGCTGCCCGCCACTCAGCCGCACACCCCTCTCGCCCACCTCTGTGTCATACCTGCACACACCCAGAGAGAGACGGAGAGAGAGAGAGAGAGAGAGAGATCATTATCCAGCTGCATTCGCTGCCATGTGTCACTCGCTGCCATGTGCCACAGACTGACCCCTGTGGCAGCGCGACGATGAACTCGTGGCACGACGCGAGTGCAGCGGCCTCCTGCACGTCGGCCAGAGGTGCGTCGGGCATGGCGTAGGCGATGTTGTCCTTTATCGATATGCCGAACAGCATGCTCTCCTGCGTCACGATGCCGATGCGGTTGCGCAGCCACCTGCGCGCAATCACAAACCACACAACAGACAGACAGACAGACAGGCACACCATGCGTCTGCCGTGCCACGTTAGGTGCTGTGGCGTGATTGCCTGCCATCCATACCGGGGGTCGAGCACCCGAATGTCATGGCCATCAAAGGCGATGCTGCCGCGCTGGGGATCGAAGTACCGCAGAATCAGCGACAGGAGGGACGACTTGCCGCTGCCTGACAGTCCAACAAAAGCCACGCGCTCACCAGGCCTAATCTCCACATTGATGTCACGGGCCACGGCGTGCAGCGGGGCACTGGGGTAGGCGAACCACACCCCACGCATCTCCAAGTGACCTGGAGTATATGCCACACAAATCGCACAGACATACACACAGGGAAACGCGGAGAACTGCCTGCGCCCACGTTCGTTTGCATGCTCACCTTTGGGCGTTGAAAAGGGAACGATGCCGCCGCTGATGGGGAGGGTGGGTTTCTCGGCGATTATCTCAAAGATCTTCTCGCCCGCGCCGAGGCCGGTGGCCAAGGCAACGACTTGCTGCGCGAGGTTGATCATGGGATCGCCGACGCCCTGGCTGTAGAGGAGGAACGCTGTGAGGGCCTCGCCGCTCATGTATCCGTGATACACATACCTGCCCACACACGCAAGCACGAACAAAGGCACCAACATGAAAGGCCATTGATCGCCGTGTGCATTTGGCATCTGGGTACCATGCGCCGAGTAGCAGCACGAGAATGACCAGGCCGTTCTGGACGATGGTGACGCATGGCAGGTAGAGGGCGTACGACATCTTGATCTTAAGCTCCTGCAATACCTGACGCCTGCAACACGGAGTACAGGTGATCCGGATCGGCCGCAACAACACGTGGCCTCCATGAGTTATCCGTCGCCCACACAGGCACACCGCCCGCTCAGCTCACCTGTTCCACTCGTTGTATCTTCGGCACTCCCACTCCTCCGATGCAAAAGCCCGCACGAGTCGGATCAACGATATCGCCTGGTCCGCAACCTACACACGCATCCACACGCACACACACCCATTCATTCATCATTCCTGGCTGCGTGTCGGCGTGTCTGGGTGTCAGACGCGTACGCACGTGGTTTGCATCGCTCTTGACGTCCTGGACCTTCCTCTGCATGGTGCGTATGAGGTTGCCGAAGAGCCGGGTGCCGACGAAGAAGACGATCGATATGGCCGAGTAGACGCACGCCAGCTGCCACCCCAGCAGGAACAGAAACAGGAGCGACCCCACCAATTGGATTGAATACTGCAGCACCTGCTTGTTATAATATCACATGGCGGACGGACGGAGGCAGGGAGGGACACAAGGCGTGTGTGCGTGTGCGCGTGTGCGTGTGAGACAGAGAAGGTCCATCCATCACCGACCAGGTTGAGGTTGGTGGTGAGGATGGAGCCGAGGAGCGTGGCGTCGGAGGTGAGTCTGCTGGTGAGCGCCCCGGTGCCGTGCTCATCGAAGTACTGCACGTCTTTCCGCATCAGGTTGGCCAAGAGCACACGCTGCACCCTCGCCACCAGCCTCACCTCCACCTTAGCTGTGCACCTGACACAGACACACACACACACACACACAGAGAGAGAGAGAGAGGGATGCACGGCGACCAACGGTCACGATATGTCATGCTGAGCGGCTGACCAGACGCGCAGCCCGCTGAAGAAGGAGAAGAGGATAGAGAAGAGGACCAGGTAGACGACGCCGCCCCAGAAGACCTCGTCGGAGGCGCTGCTGTCGAGCACGGCAGAGATGCACTGGGCGATGAACTTTGGCAGCATCAACTTGGTCAGAGACGACAGCACCAGGAAACAACCGCCACCTACATTACATCGGCAAACGGTGTGTGTGTGTGCGAGGGTCGCCTATCCGCTCCCCTCCCCTCAGCCCCCCACCCACCCACATACCAATGATAAGCCCCAGATCTGGCTGGGCGTAGTGTATCAGGCACTTGACCGTCGACACCTTCGGCGGCGCCTTCACTCCCGAAGCCAAGCCGTCATTGCCGTTCGTCAGAAGCTTGTCGTCGTTGTCATTTTTGACGTCGTTGTCGTCATCATCTGTGTCGTCTGAAGGAGCCAGGCAGACAGAGAGGAGAACACACACGTGGATCGACACTCTTTGTCATCGACAGATGTGTACCTTCGTTGTCGAATCGGTACGAGGCTCCCGTGCCGATGGATGGCGGCAGGTAGGTGTAGCTGGAGTCGACGGTCAGCTCCGTGGGTGCGGCCGAGTGGCTGGGGTGGTCGACGATGGTATGTGTGTGGGTGTTGGTGTGGGCGTGGGTGTCGGTGCACAGGGGCTGCACTTTGTCGTCCAGCTCGATGTCGGGGTCGATGTCCTTGTAGCTGCCCTGGTGGACCGTGTACATCTCCAGCGCCCCGCCAACCACACACACAAACAGTGTCCCCAGCCGAGTCAACACACCGCCGACATGGCCGGAACTGGAGGAACCACAGACAAACACACACACACGGCAAGGAACATCACACACGCGCCTGACTGACCCTCCCTCCCTCCCTCCCTCCCTGTCCCGTCTTACATGGCCAGCCCAATGAGTAAGGCCACCGTCTTGACGGCCGTGAAGGCCAGCGCTATAGCTGAAACATATATGGCGGGCCTCCTGATCACGGCGCAGATCCAAAAGAACAGCAACACACCGCCCCTCAGCACGTTGACCAGCACCGCGTCCGCAACCGAGAAGGCAAAACTGTACCGCTCCAGCTCCTGCTCCAACAGCAGTTCGGGCTGGAAGCCATAGAGGGAGCCCAGCAGGAGGGGCGAGATCAGCCCATAGAGGGCGAAGGCAGTCAGCTGCAGCGCCACAGACAGCCGGGGAGCTCTCGTGATGCGCCAATATGGGAAAGCCATCCGAGTCGTTGCTGTCTGTCGGCTCTTTCAATCTTCAGCTCTCTCCGACTCTCTCTCGTCACGTTGCAACTGGGCAAGCCACAGGCGATGAGTCGACGCTCTCCGAGTCTCGCAGCTTAGCTCGCAAAATTGAGAGCTAGGGTGCTCCCCAAAATTGAGAGCTAGGGTGCTCCCTAAACCCGCTGCTGCTGAGCTGCGCTCCCTGAAGACTGGGGCTGCGGAGAGTTCGCGAAAGGAATGCACGTGAGCTGCAGAGGGAAATCCATCAATATCTATCTGTTGACAGCTCTGTGACCCGTTCATCGTCGGCGAAAGGTCATGAAAGGCTGGCGTGACGATGCTCACGGCGGCGGCGGTGGCGGTGCCGGTGGGTCCCGCCCTTCCCACCCGCACCACGGCAAGAAGCGGCAGCACATAAAGGGCCACAGCAACATTCGTGGCGACGACGCCGCGACGACGGGGATGGAGGGCTTCACGCGCATGCTGCACGACGAGACCAACATCGTGGATCACCAGGTGATCCTTCGGCTGCCCACCGAGGTGGCCGACAAGCTCAACGAGCGCATCAAGACCTCCCAGGACGGCAAGCAGCTCGGCCTCTCCCTGCGGCCGACGGGCAAGCAGCAGGGGCGAGAGTTCGACTTGATCTTTGACCGGCAGATGTACGGCGGGCTGCTGGTGGACCTGCCGTGTTACATGGAGACCTACAAGACCAACGACGGGGGCGAGAACCTCTACAAGAGCGGCGACGTGGCGCAGATGATGATTGTCTACCAGAGGCCGCCGCCCGGCAGCAACACCGACCCCCTCGCAGACCTCAAGCGCACACAGCAACTCAATGTCAACGACTACACATTCAACTCAGGTGGGTGGGCAATGCACACACGCATGGACAGCAATGGACAGCAGATGGCTGTCTAAGTGTCTGTGTGTGTGTGTGTGGATAAGGTCTGACGCCCGGCACGCACCGCATCCGAATGCGCAAGTTCCGGGGCGACTGTGCTTACTCGCCGTCAGAGATGCGCGAGATGGAAGACGCCATTCTCATGGTGACTACCGAAGAGGCACACACACACCTGTTGGTTGGTAGATATCTATCACGTGTGTGTGTGTGTGTGTGTGTGTCAGTATTTGGAGCACCAGAGCTGTGACATATACGAGGAGGAGTGGGTGTCAGAGTACCAACGCAATGAGCACCAGAAGAACGCCGCTGCCGACGAGATCCTCGAGACCTCAGCCCAGGACTTTGCAGAGGCCAAGAGCGACGCCTCCGATCTCAGCGACACGCTGTTTGGCCTCAAGGGCGCCAAAGTCGTCGCCTTTGCAGGGCGGCCGGGGTCCAAACCCAAAGTCAAAGCCAAGGGCAAACCCAAGAAGAAACCCGCGAAAGTCGCTGGTCAGTCAGTCAGTGAAGATGAGCACATGGATGCGCGGAATAATGGGTGGTCATGTGTGTGTGTGTGTGGTGTTGGCTGTAGGTCGCATTGCGGCGCTGCCCCTCCAGCAGCAGCCATCTGACGACATCATTGAGCAGGATGGTCCCTACCCCTCAGGTAAAGTGTCTGCAGTGCATGTCGGTCGTCCCATTCACACACACACACACACACAACACGCACACAACAACAAAACTGTCCATTTGTGTGACTGACTGACTGACTGATTGATTGATGGATGCACTCATTCCTTCGTTTGTCAGGTGCCGCCTATCGGTCTGCCCCGTCGATGGCCCCGCCGCCGCCCCTCCAGCACCCGAGTGAGCCGGTGGACGCGGCCGTCTTCACCGACTCGTCGCGCGAGGACGAGACTGAGTCGCGGCGAGAGAAGCGGAAGAAGAAGAAAAAGAAGAGGAAAAAGGACAGAGACAGAGACAGGCAGGACAAGTAGATAGTAGATAGACAGGGACACACAGCACAACACAACCGGGGGGAGGGGAGTCCAAGGGCTGGATGGGGGCAGGAGGGGGAGGGGGGACGGGCCGACACGCATCGCATCCTTGGGGTGGGTGGGGCTAGTTTGTGGAGTATTGGTCGTGTCGCATACACACACGGAACGAGTGACAGACAAATGCGCGCACAGACGAGATGAAAACCACACAGATGCACAAACACGCTCTCTTTTCAAGTACCGACCCCTCCCTCCCTCCCTCCCTCCCCTGTGCAACCCCCCTATCTCTCCTTCCCTCGAGTGCAGTGCCTCGAGTGCTCGAGTGCATGACCGACACACACACTAACACCCACAGCACACAAATCCAGACACACCTGACCTGGTCCAGCTGCCTCACGACCAAATCGACGAAGCACACCACACCCAGCGATGAATGCCCTGCCCAACAAGCCCACCCAATGCCACAAAGCACAGCACAGCACAGCGCAGAAGGCACAAAGAACCAGAAATGTCCCATACAGCTGCCGACTACACTCCCCCTGTTCGTTCATGGTTATTCTCCGAATTCCATTCCTCCGCCTTCGTCGATGCCCATGTCCTCCATTTCGTCCTCCCGCAGCCCCTCGTCCGACAGGCTCTTCCTCTTACGCTCCCGATCCAATAAACGCTGCTCCTCCGTCAAGGGATCGGTGAAACCAATCACCTAAACACACGCACACAGGAGACAGACAGACAGACAGACAGAGACAGACAGAAGTCGGTTGTGTGTCGTGGGTTGTGCATGGCCATGGAAAGACCTACCAGTGGGAATGCGAGTAGGTAGCAGTCGCAGATGGATGTGAACTGGGATATGATCAGGATGATCCCCTTGAACAGGGCGCGGAACAGAGGGGCGCTGGCGTTGCTGTGAGGGGGGAGACACACGCACGAATGAACGAGGGTGTTTGGGGGCATGTTGTGCTGTTGTGTTGTTTGTGTGGTCACCGGTGCAGGAGTGACCAGAATGAGGCCGTCATCCACTTCTCGTACACACGGGGGTCAAAACTCTGAATATGTGTATGAGACACACACATGGTAGTCAGGTAGCACAGACGAGAGAGACATCATCATCGTTGCGTGTCGATGGCGCCATTTGCTTACTTACCAGGACGAACAGCAGGAGGAAGTAGACACACCAGGTGATCCACGCCCACACGATGGTGTACGCAATGATGTCCTTGACGCGCCAAAACCATATCTGATAAACACAAACACACACACCCACACCTCCCTCCCTCCCTCCCTCCCTCCCCCCCCCACAAAGGGGACACACACCTGGAAGTCTTTCTCCTTCTGCGTCAGCTCCTGCCAGAAGACTTGTTTGATGAACAGAGTCCTCAACAGCATCGGCAGCGGCACCGACAGTATCACCGCCCAGATGCTCGCGAACAGCATCTCCCAGTTGGGTATGAAGGGCGCCCAGAACGAGGGCTTCTTGCACGCCGCTGCCTCCGGCTTGGTCACGCAATCCACTGAACGAATCAAAAAATGAAGGCACGCAGACAGACAGGGGCAGTATCGAGATGACGGACGGATGGGTCGTATGGGCGTGTGAGAGAGTGTTTCGACCATTGAAGAAGAGACACGAGAAGAAAAAGCCGCCAAAGAGGGCGACGGCGAAGATGGAGTATCTCTGGACCCGGTTCATGGCGGGGCTGTAGGGACACAACTTTGGGACTGATGAGACAGACGCACAGGACGCTCACACATACACATCAAGTGGGCGTTGAGAACGGGGGACGATCTTACCGGGGTGCTCTCTGAGGCTGAGTTTGGCGAAGATACGGCCGGGGCTCCAATATTGATACTGCACCTGTTTCGCGATCGTCTCAGTCTGCACCCAGCAAACACACACATAGTCAGACAAAGCCAGCCACGGCACCCCCCGCTCCCTCCCCATTCCATCCCTCCCGTACACCTGCGTGTTTCGGGTCGTCCCCTCTCTTGAATCGCTCCATCGTGGCGGCCCGGGTCATCTTCTTGTTCTTCGGGCTCACCTCCATCGCAAGAGCAGGCCGCTGCGCTATCTGGCTGGCCGTCAGACCTCGGCTAGACGGGGACGCTGGCAACTTGTCCCACTTCTGCTTCGCGGCCTGGTCACTCTGTCTCTGGGGAGCGGTAGGTGATGTGGGTGTCTCGAAGAGGAACGACGCATCCCTAACTGCCTGGACTGTGGGCAGCTCGATAACATCCCGCTCTGGGGTGATGTGCACGGGCGACTCCAGGTCGGGGATGGCGTTGAAGGCCCGCATCGTGGCCGCCTGGTCATTGCTGCCCTCACGGCTGCTGGATGGGAGGTTGCCGTTGTTGGTGGACCGGATATCCGATGAGGCCACGGCCATGGGGATGTGCGGCTTCGTGGTCGGGCTGTCGGTGAAGGGGTCCTCGAGGGTGAGGATCTCCTCGTCCGGGACGTCCATTTCGTCGGCGTGGGGGAGGGTCACGCCGCCCTCGGGTGACATGTAGAACAGGGCGTTGGACGCGCGGCGCTCGCGTTGGCGAGGGGGAGGCGCCTCGTGATCCTGGTCTTGACCTGCTCCGTCATCGTCGTCAAATAGTCGGCTGCCGCCCTTGAAGCGGTCGATTTCCTCACCCTCACCTTCCTGCTGCTGCGGCATTTTGTGTCTCTGCATGAGCACGGTGCCCGTGAGGTCTGCATCTTCGAGTCGGCCCTTGAGCAGGTTGACGTTGGTCGTGAAGGCCTGTGTCTGCACAGGGTGGATGAAGGTGAAGGTGAGCTTGACCTTGGCATTCTCGGCGAGCAGCGTCACGGCAAGCGGCCACTCGAAGTCGGGCGAGGCGCTTCTGTACTTGCTGACGTTAGGCGTCAGATCCCTCAGCATGAAGCTGTAGACCTTCTCCTCTGCCTCATCTTCCCCATTCTCCGCAGGGCTGGTCGCCGGCTTGATGCTCAGCAGCTCTCCCCCGTGTGTGAGCCAGCACTCAACCTCGATCGCCGACGCCTTGGACGCACCCCCTTGCAAGGTGCATGACACCTTACAGTCGAAGGAGGAGGAAGGCGACAGCGTCTCGTTCGGGGAAAAGTACTCGAGCAGCGCCCTCTCCCTGAGATTCTCCAGCGTCGAGGCCGTCTGGCTGTCTCCCTCTCCGTCCTCCCTGTTTTCGTCCTCATGGTGGCCCTCCTCCAGGTCCAAATCTTCTTCAGGGATCTCCATGTTGCCTTCGAGAACCGCAGTCAGAAAGTGAAAGAGGTCCTCGGAGCGGCAATCTGGGTCGGCGCTCTGCAGGCGGAGGAGGACCTTGTCGTTCTGGCCGAGCACTACGACCTCGCCGTCGTCCTGGAAGTTCTCGGCATCTTGTAGCAAGGGTGGGTCCCATCGGATCGACATGATGTCGGTCATGTAGAGGAGGATGCGGGGGCCCTGAGTGCACAAAGAGACATTGAGAGTCCGTGTGTGTGTCTCGGTCTTCGCCTACCTGCCAGTCGATGAGGTGTTGTATGTCTGGGATTGAGAAGTGAGCCTTCGGATGCTGAAACAAGAGACAAATAGAGACATGTGACGGCAGCAGATAAACAAGCGTGCTGGTGTTGATGCATGACCAACGTACCAGGCAAATCATCTCATAGCGACTCGTCACCACCCACGCCACGAACTGCTCCTCGCTGGTCCCAACTTTGTCACCGCTCTCACCCATCAGCGACGCCTGCATCGCCACCAGCCTCGACAGCTCCTCGCTGTCATGCGGCGGGTGCAGCCGGGTGCTCTCGTCCATCTCCAACACGCGCACACACGCAGAGGAGAGCGGAATGACGAACGTTGGGAGCAGCTCGGCGCTGCTACCCCTCCTGCGCCGTGGAGGGGCATTGAGCTGCGTGGCGGTCTCGCGGCGAAGTGCGGTCTCGAGGTACGAGACAGCGCCGGGCTGGCTCTCTGCTGACTCTGGGTTGTCGCGCAGCAACTGTATAGCTGCCATCTCCCACTGTCGGGCGCCGACCACTTTGCGGTCTCTTTTGGAGACTGTGTGCGAAGAGCAGCTGATTGAAGCGCTCGAAGTCTCCCTCAGCCAGTCGAGGCTTCTCCTGGCCTGAAAATGGTAAATGAAAAGGGCGAAAAAGCTTGGGTGTTCCTTGTGGGTAGCTGGGTAGATTGGTGTGAGTGTGCTGTTCTGACCGAAGAAGGACCTCATCTTGTCCCATACCCCCTTGGGTGAGGTCTCGCTCTTCTCCGACTGCTCCTCCTCCTTCTTGCCCATTCGGCTCCGCTGCCTGGTCGGCTGGCGGGAGACCTCATCCAGCAGCTCCCTGGCCTTTTGCTTCTCCTTGTCTATCTGCACGCTGGCCACCGTCTTGACCACTGACAGGGCCTGGCTGATGCGCTCGCTGTCCTTGACCGACCCGCGATACCCCATCGCACGGAGCATCGGGATGTCAACCAGCGGCTTCACAGACGACACACAGTCAAGTCATTAGCGTCATGGAATGGCAGGTGCTTCTTGTCACGTACCTCATTCCAGAGGTCGCCGCTGCCCTTCTTCGTCGGCCGATGGGAGGCTGGGCTTTGGTCAGCCATGGTCCTGCTGTGCCTGAGGTTCCGTAGCCCTACACACATCGTACACACACACACACACACACACACACAATTACATTCGCACGCCCGGTAAGGAGACCTGCGCATGATGGCGTGTGTACAGTAGAGTCGCACCGATGAGGCTGGCAGCGAGGGTTTGCCGTCTGACCTTCTCCTGCTCAGAGATGACCTCCCAGTACTTGACTTCCTCCTGCTGCCCCTTGCCCTCGCTCGATACCGACTTGCCCGAGTCGATGTGACGGTCAGAGCTGCTCACCGTCCGGGTGTACTTGATCCCAGGTGCTGCTGCAGCGCCATGGGCTGCCTCCTCCGCCGCAAACCGTAGGACCTTGTGGTCGCCACCCTTGTCGCTCTTCGGCTTGTGATCTGACCGGTCTGTGGTCGCGCCAGCCTCATGGATGCGGGCCAGGGTGTCTTTCCGAGCCATGCCGTCATCCGACTTCTGCGCGGCGTCCGCGCCCGCATCCCCGATGGCGTAGAGCTTGCTCCTGCCCTTGTTGCGCCCCTTCTTGCGCCTCCGACATGTGTAGCACGTGAGAGCTCGGTAGCACGAGGAGCAATTGATGCGGACGGGTGGCATCATGAAGAGCTGGTTACAAATGCCCACAGGCGGCAGGACGTTGCAGATGAAGTCCTCGTTCCCCTTGGCCATTGCATCGCGGAAGAAATAGTGACGTCTGTCGTTCGGGCGCTTGTAATCTTTCCTGTCCTTCCGATATAGGTGAATGAAGGGCGCCAGGAGGATGGACACCACCAGCCAAAGGTACCAGAACCCGGGATTGGAGAACATGTCGGCGTTGATAAGGCTAAGAAAGGATATTCAAGTGAGGAAGCCCAATGAATGTCCATAGTGGTCCATGATACGTCGACCAGTACCTGCCGGATTGCGCGACGATCCCGATGTTGGTGCGATCGAATTTCTGGGTGAACTAAGGAAAAAGCCAAGCCGAAACACAACCATTTGCAGGAAAGACGTACTTGTAGACATTCAGCTGACGCGTACCTTGACTGCCGCCGCTGTGAATGTGGTAAGGTGGGTGCAGGCTGGCAAAAGACAACGAGGGACAGTCAGCGCTTATTCACGCACATTGGACGACGGCCGGCCTCATTTCCGGCTCATTACGTACCGCATTTGATGGTTGAGCGGCTTCGACATACAATGCTGCAGCCCTCCGTCACCCATTCCTGAGCCTCCTTGTCAAAGTATCTGCAGTCTGAGTCCACAATGTCCTGCTCAAACTCCTCCGTCACGTTGCCAGATTCAGCGGGCTTCTCGAAGGCGCCAGGTTTGAGGGAATCTGCCGCATCGCCGCCATGCCACTCCAGGCCGCCAAAGAATAGCTGACGATGCGGTGCTCCGATAATGCCAGTGGTGTCAAGGTCCAGGAACGCCCCGAAGACTGTCTCGGCTGTCTCCCTGCTCATGTGAGACAGCACAAGGGCCCGTATGCTGCTGTGGATCGATGATATAGTGGGGAGGGGCAGAAGCAGTGGCTCGGTTTTCGGCCTGGCCAGTCGTCTCGTCGACACGTCAGCACAGCCACAATCGCCGTCAAAGTCTGTCTCGGACGCGTCCTCAGCCTTGCCCTCCCTCGCAGAAAGCAGAAGATCGTCCCAATCAAAAGCCGAGACATTCCGGTCCAGGCAGAACAGGATGGGATCTTGCAGATTCTTGACCTCCTCGGGAACGCCACATCTAAGGATCTCAAACGCCCGGATGGCTGGTTTGTGCCCGGAAATGTTGACGGTCGAGTCGGCCCAGCTGTATGGGTTTTTCTTCCAGTCCGACGCCAGGGGAGTGAAGTCGCCCTCGCAGTCCCCAGCTGCCGGCGAGAGCGGCGGGACGCTGAAGCCGGCAGCGGAGAAGCCCTCCTGTGAGGCTGACGCCACGTCCACCACACTGATCTCCATGTCCAGCGAGGCTGAGTGCACAGTCACTGGAGGATCGTCTTTTGTCTTGCTGCAGTAAAGGAGACACATACAAACAAAGACAGACAGCCATGCGTCCGAATCCATTGTGCCCATTCGTTACGTTTGAATGACGGCTGTCCCCACTGTCTGAATGGTCTTCTCCAACGAGTCGGTCGCAGCCGCCTCTCTCGCCACCTTGTCGGGCGAGCTATCGCCAGCATCTCTGCCCTCGATGACCACATCCAGCGCCTTGACGACTGTGGTAGCCGTCTCGGTGTCGATTCCCGCGCCCCCGTCGATGGACACCTCTAGCAAACTCGTGAAGGCTGACGTGACCCTTGTGCTGTCTTCGCCGATCTGCTCGGGCGACTGGGCCTCGACGACGCTGCGGAGGGATGTGGCGAAAACCTTGACATCTTCATCCAATGGATCGATCCAAGCCAGCGCCTCGCCGAATTTGGCCAGAGTGCTGTTGAAGACGGCCTGTGTTGCTGTCTTGTTGGCGGGATCGGCAGCTGACGCAATGACGACCATTGCATTTCCTAGCGTCTCTGCGTCGAGGCTTGAGCCAGCCTGCAAAAGATAACAGAGATGTGGCATGTAGATCCTGCTGCTTTTTGTTCCGGCTCACCTCATCCAGCAGCCCGGTGAGTTCGCCGACTGACGGTGGTTCCTCCTGTTGTACCGCCATATCGATGCACGGACAACTGAAGCCGCTGGAGCCTTCAAGACACGTGTCGCCGGAGGGATCACGCGCGACAGCCACCACAGCAGCTTCCCCGATTGGTAGGCGAGTCTTGAGCGATCGTTGGAAGGGGCGGAACACCTGTAAAGCTCGGAACATGTCGCCGAAACTCCCTGGCGTGAGGTCTCTAGCGTCTGCGCATGGGAGAGGGGACTTGCTGATATATAGAGCGTACTCCTGCAGATGATACGCAACGGACAGAGGTATGGGAGGCCAGATCCTGTTTCCGCCGTCTCACCAGTGTATCTTGGTCATCATCGGGGTCCGTCCAGCTCTGCGAGAAGTCGAAGACCGTCAAGAGTTCCCCGCTAGTGGACGGAGTCACCAGCGCGTCCTCTACAGTGCAAGTCGCCTGCAACATCCCCTGTGAGGGCGCTACGTTGACAATCCACTTGTTGCTTTGAAGGACGCCAGCCACATCCGGCAGTTGCCAGCTGTATCTGAGAACGTAGGCTCCGCCCGGTGTCATCAGAGACGGCTCAACGACAACTGAGTCCACCTGGGTCGACATGAGTGACTCTGCCTCGCTGTCTTGTAAGCCATCCTCTGCACTCGTCAGTGTCTTGACGACATAGCCATTGAGCGAGCTGTCTTCCAAAATCGGTGGCAACTCATCAGTCAACAGTTCGATGAGGGACCACTGGCCAGTGATAACCGACAGCGTCTCGTCTGAATAGCACACGGATGAGGCGGCGGCAGGCGATCGCATGGTGATGACGGATGCGTGCAGGATGTCCACAGGCATTTTCCCCTCTCTCAGCGAGACATTAAGCTGCAACGCGGGAGCGGCCCCTTGCCGCACCAGCACCTCCTGTGCCCGGACGACATCGCTCATGGAATCCGTCAAAGACACGCCCACAGCAAAGATGTAGAGGCCGGCTGTCATGGCGTCAATGTTCTAATAGCTTTTGCCGTCCCCAAATCGGCCGTCAGATGATGACATGGCGCACTTTGCGTCTTCAGCGACGAGGGCAGCAAGCTCATCGAGTGTGTATTCCGTCACCATGTTGCCGTCTTCATCTCTCGGCAGCGGCAAAGCAGCAGGGAAGCAGTACCACTGGTAGTTGACGCCGCTCTGGGAAGCGCCTCGAGGGATGTCGCTTGACGAAAGTCGAGCGGATAGCAGCAGAGGACACTCATTGTAAGCGACTGTAAATGAAAGGATACGTCTTGTGTAGTTCTTCGCATTCCCGCTTTCTCATGTGCGTCTCCCTACCTATGGAGTCTGATGGGAAAGAGGCCAGCACTTGTGGGACATCATCGACGACCACATCGAAATACGCCGTGGTCGACACCTGATGGGCCTGCGCCGTCGCCTTGACCTCAGAAGTGTAATCTGCTCCCGCTGTCAGGCCGTCAGGGAAGCTCAACGACATCAGATTGGGCGACAGCCTATAGTTGAGCTCATATTGGTCGCTCATAGGTGTGAACTGTGTCTCGTTGGCAAGCCGGTAGCTCCACACGATCTCAGGGCGCTGGCCCGCTGATGATGTCTCGAGCTTAGCCTTTAGAACGAATGGCGCTGACGAGCCGACGGCAAGAGGTGACGGCGTCATTCGTGTGATCGTGAGAATGGGGAGTGACCGCTTCGCGGAGATGGCGATGGTGACTTGGTCAGAGGCTGTATTGTACAGGCAGTCTCGGGCGGTGATGCTGATGTTCATTGTGGACTGTGGTGTGATGTCTGCCTCCTCAATGGCCTTCTCCATTTCCTTTGTTGGGATGAAGAGACGTGCCTGGTCAGTGACCACTCTCTGAGCTGCAAACAGGACGAAACATTGAGGGCCAAGTATCCGAGTGGTGGCTCCCCGCCATCTCACCTCCGCGCTTTGTCAGGAATGAGTTGATGTCTGTGCAGATGGCCGGCACATTTGTTTGGTTCTCGACACACTGCCATGTCACTTCGATCGGCCCAGCCGCTGACCGCTGGATGGCTGCCGTCACATCGAGGGAATGCCCCAGCCCAAGGACGCCCGGGGCCTTGGAAACCTTGACCTGTCGTCACGTATTAAAAGATGAGACGCAATTAAAACGCCACGGATGATTTCCTACCCCGATCCCGAGTTGGCCGTCCATTGGTCCAACGTAGGCTTCCACATTCAGCGTGGCTCCGGCAGCGAACCACCCATCGGCCCACTGCGTGAGAGGAGGATAATGAGAGGACTGGTCAAAGGCCTCAAGCACGGCATCCGTCATGTCGCCGCGGAGGAAGTACCCGCTCTCGACAGCCACCGCATCGCCAGGCGCCAACAGATCGTCGCATGTGGTTGATGAGGCAGCGCCGCCCAGCTTGATGGAGAGCTGCGTGGAGACATCACCCATCTGGCACTCGGGGTTCTTGCCCAACTTGGCGCGTGATTGTGCGTCGAAGATGCTGCAGAGGTCAATGTCTGTCTTGTCAGGCCGCAGTCGAGCCGGCCGGTCGAATGACAGGGCAAGGCGTGAAGAGGAGCGATCCGCGTACCGAAGACTCAACACCTTCGGCGGGCGGAGCTCTCGGCAGAGGGAGAATGAAGACCCGCTTGCTGTGTATCGTAAGAATACAGAAGATCTACCAGAACATGCCTGATTTCCTCTCTGCCTTACGGAAGCAGCCGATGGTCGTTCTGCTGGGTGTCCCGCCACTTTCCTGAGAGCAATCCATCTCCATACACTGCACCAAAAGCGAGGCCGGCGGCCGATCTCCAGACGAGGCGTCGCATGGATGCACGTCAGGGTCATCTTGAGAGTCGCAGAGGGACTTCTCGCTGCAACGCGACGTGTTGTAGGGCTGTCCGTCACCGAATGAGACAGTGGTGGTTTGGCACTTGAAGCCCGGCTCGATGGACAGACAGCCACCAGCACACCCATCGCCGCTTTTCGCGTTGCCTGTGAATAGAAAACAATATTTGTGTGCCTTTTGCGCTGTGTGGCTATTGCTCATGCTCACCGTCATCGCAGACCTCAATGCCTGTGACCAAAATGCCATCGCCGCATTTCGGCACGCATTCTCCGTTGACGCAAGTGAAACCGAAGGAGCAGCCGCCGCAAGGAATTAGCTCTGAGGGAAGAGACAACATAGTATGTGGTCTGACATAAATGTCAGGAAGCAAGTAACCTTCGACAAATTGAAATGTCGCGGGCTCCTTGGCTTCATTGTGGTAGCTGCCTGGTGTCGTGCACCGTGATGCCGGCCTCTCAGATGCATCGCACACACACATCCGATAGGTGCCGGCCTTCATGATGGAGTATCCCTCGCAGGCGAACGCGCTGCCCTCATCAGACATCGTGCAAATCAGGTCTTTCACACCCTCCAGGGTATTTGGCACGTGATAGCTCATCCATCTGGACGCCAGCTGGCCATCCAGCTTTTCTGTAGAAAGCAACTCACACTTTGATATCGCTTCTGCGTCCACGAGAATAGGGCGGTCGTTGCCATGAAGGTGCGATCCAGTGAGGGTCAGCTTGAGAGCAAAATCGACGAGAAGCACATCTGTGGGGCGGTTCAAGGCGGCCATCCTCACACTTGCGGTGTCCAAAGTCATCTTCGGGTTATTTGCTGAGCAGACAGGCAAGAGACATTGAGACACGTAAAGACAGTGAGGCGATTTGATCTATCATATCATTGTGCTCTTCCTCACTGTAGCTTCTCTCGATGGGCTCAGCCGCCACGTTGCCATTGCCGGCCACGTCGGTGACGTCTCCTTCCGAGATGGTTGCACTCATCGTGCCTTCTGTATCGGGCAGGGCTGTCACCCTGTACTCTTGTGAGGAACTCTCATCCAGGCTCTCGAGGGTGATGACCGTGCAGTTGCGGCACGTGATGTTGCCCCTCTCGAAAGGAGCCATATCCTCACTGAACGACAGCAGGAAGGTCCATTCCTCAGCTGTGGCCGGCTCAGAGGGATTCTCTATTGACAGCGTCACGGTAGGACGCGTCTCGTCTGATACGACACATCCACCAGGCAGAAAGAGCATAGGTGAGAAGCCTCTTGGAATAGTCATCATGTCTCGTACCAAAGACGAATAGGCACTGATTCCCTGCTTCGTTGGCGTTGCCCGCCTCGTCCAAGGCAGCATTTGCCAATACAGACACCGTCACCAGCCCCTCGTTGTGCATCCGCACGTAAGTCGCACCGTCCGTGCCATTCAGCCAGAAATGAGCACCTCGCTGGCTTTCGAGGACATCTTTCTTCTCCAGCCACCCGTTGCGGACGTCGATCTTCCTTGCGTCGGTGAGAGTGACCGTCTCAGACGAGGTGATCATGAGAGGCGGGGGGGCATTGCGTCGAGTTCTATTGCAGGCGCCCGCAAGGGGTGACACGATTGTCAAGGTTGGAGGGATAACGTCTGCACGAGCAAGGGGAGACGCATGTTCGTACTCAGACTTCCATCCATACATGTCGGATTTTTCCGGCCCACCGACCGACATAAAAGATGGCGGTGTTGCCTCCCGACAGTGTCCCGTTAATGTCCGTCTCAATCACCTGGAGAGACCGCCCACTGTCGGGATCCTGACCAAGCTCGGGATAGGTCTTCTCCTTTATTTTGTCTCCGTGCAGGATGACGGCCACCTCCTGCACAGATGCCTCCGCCTGAAACGAAGCCAACGCAACAAGTGGTCTCAAGATTGCGCGTCACCAATGCCTCAGTGGCGACGGACCTCAGACTGAGACAAATCGCCCTGCACCTCGAGCTGCCATTTCTGGGGCGAGAGGACGTTAAAGAGGGTGATCTGGCCGTTGCTGACCTCGATGGTGCTCTGAGCTGCCGTTGTGTCATCTGCAGACAGAGAGCCAAAGTGCGTCAGACCGCTTTCATGTGTGTGTCCTATCGCCCCACCTGACTGCACAACACTCAGAGAGAACTCGATCTCCATCTTAAATTCGTTCTGATTTGTATAAACTGGCGTGAGGATACGCATGGTGGCGTAGAAGGGTGGATAGGAAATGGTGATGGTGCCAGCATGCACTGCAGAGTTGGTCTGACAGACACATCCGAATGAGAACGACCATGGCAGCGGCAACGATGTCTTTTGCTTACCTTTAAGTCGATGCCCAACGCCTCATAATCCACACACTGCATGTGAGGGCAGAAGCAGACCGCGTACGTGCCGGGGGCCCACAGGTGCACTGTCCACGTGATCTGGTTGAGGTCGTCTGAGACGTTCCCATCAACATAGTAGTCGCCAAAGCTAGATGACGCATTGTAGCCTTTGGCGGCATCTGTTGGAGCCAGCTGTCCTTCATGGTCGCCACAGTTATGGTTCTCGTCGACCGACTCCACAATGAGAATCCTGATCCAGAAAAACGACTGGATATACACCATTCGTCGACACATCTGCCTGCTTGCCTGTTTCCTGAATTGAAGTTCGTCCCATTTAGTGTCAGGTTGAAGGCTTGAGATGTCTCGTAGGCGCCCTCTACGAAGGCGGTGACCTCGGCAGCTGAACACGACCGCGCAAGGCGAGAATCGACGGTGCGAAGCGATTTGTCTTTTGTCGTCATTTTGTTTACCTTCGAGCACCTGCACGTAGCCCATCATTTGTTTGAAGCCACTCACTCCGTCGCAATTGGTGAGTGAGTCGGACTGACAATGACAAATCCGGTAGACATCTGGATCGACACCCGGCACGTGTGCCTCTTTGAAAAGGAGAGTCGACACCCGGATAGACGAGTTCTGAAGGGCACGCAAGTAACACAAGGCCAATGAGGCGTGAAAAGCAACCGGAAAATGTGCTTTGGCCTTTCCGGATCCGCATACAGTGATGTTGAGTGTCCATGGGTAGTGAGGCGGGTCCCGGGACACTTCAGCGGACGACAGATGTGGGTGAGTCAGGTCGCCGCAGGTATCCTTTCCGGGAATTAGCATCTTGAATTCAACGCTGAGATGTTGATCAACTTGACAGTTCATTTGTATTCCGTCCATTGTTGGTTTCTGCTTACCTGTCTGTTTGGGACGGCTCTTCTCCTGGATCTGCACTGCCCTTGCGGGCAATGTAGATGTGCTGCGGCCAGTCCTTGGTCACGGTATGTTTCTCCGAGTGAACGGAGACTGATACGTGCCCACACACACAAAAATGCGGGATCGACGGCCACACGAATTTACTGTCGTCCTTGGATGTCTCCCTACCTGAGTCGACGACCATCACTGGTGGTCCCTGTATTGGTGCGTTGTCGCCATCCTCACAATGTCCCACCGGCCCGCCGCAGAAGCACACACGGTATCGGCCGCCGTCCGTGATGTGGACATCCTTCCACACAGCTGCAGTACTTGGACCGAAGCTCGTCTGCATGGACAAAGATAGTGTGCAGCGATGGATCCGTCCGTTCGTTTCATCATTCGCACCACATTGTCCGGCTGAATTAGCCCATCGGGTTGGGCGTCTTTCTTGTCCGTCCACTCCCCTGGTTGAGTGATCGTGCAATCGTAGACGCCATTGGGGTCCTCAACAAGTACAATGCTGAACGCCAACATGCAAGGCAAGAGACATCTTCTGAAGGCGTGTGACTGTGATATCTGCCTTTACCCATGATGTGTCTCGATATCGTTGCCGAACAGAATGATATTGCCTTTCTTGTTTGTGAACAGGTACTGGGTCTGTTGATTCGATGACTCGACGCTTGCTGAGGGCGAAAGCCTTCTGCGTTCCGACGTCGAGCCATATCTCAGTGTGCTTTCAACACCTGGCGAGTAGACGATGATTTTCGGTCCGTCAATCGGATACGCCCCATATCGAAAGTTGCCATCCTGGAGGTCAGCATCGCAGGTGCCAGATGATGGGAGGCATAGACACATGTGATACACCCCTTTCTCGGTCAGCTGAAAACTCCTGTATGACAAAAAGAGAGCTGGGCAATACGTGGGCCCGAATCACTCACCAAGTAAGGGTCCTGCCTTGGCTGTCAACTGCTGGGACCAGGTCTATCATGTGAGCATAGCAACTTCTTTCATGTGTGCCGAGCCAGCAGGGGAGTGAGAACTGCTTGAAAAGTTTGGTTGGCCAGTCCCCTCTCCAGGTCCGCGTGCCCGGCTCGAGATCAGCGCATGTCTCATTGTCGTTCAACGCACTCTCCGGGAAAACGAGCATCCTGACCACACAGAACGATTGAATTAGGAGTTCATCATCTTAATCGGTCCATGCTTACCTGACGTTGTCCTGATTGACGGAATCACCCTGCGCAAGCCTGACGCTGAGATCCCCAGCCACATTCCTCCTTATCGCCACTTCACTCGGCGAATCATCGCCTGAGTGAATGCAACAGAAAAGAGATCGAGGGCAAGCATGATGCAACACGTCGTTCTGTGGGTGCTTGCTTACTCAGCGCCTGCAGCTGCCGTCCAAGATGAGTGGAAACCACAGAATCTCTGAGCGGCCCTGTGTCGCTGGTGCCGATGGGCAAGCGCCCCGGGCCTCGTAATGCATGGTTCGTGGTGCCGGCCGACAGAGAGGCGGCGAAGCGAAGGGCCATGCCCAGCAGAAGCGTATGGAGTCGAAAACACACCATTTCATTCGTACGGATGCATGCGATGGCAGCGGTTGGGGGCACGGTGCGGCGCCGAAAAAAAAGATGGGTTGCTTAGATGAGAGCACACTTTGTTTATGGGTACAGGGAAAAGGGAGGGAAGGGAAGGAAAGGCGCTGGGGATCGCATGCGAGCTTAGAGGTACTGGCCTCACGAGGAGGCATCGGATCATGTGATCTATATAGATCTCATCCTTTGGTTTGCCTCCAACGCACTGCGTGCGCGTTCACGTCTTCTTGCGAAGGATGTCCGCCAAGAGGCCGCTTTCGGGAATCAGAGTAAGCGCCTTTCGACTCATCATGCTTCCCTCTTTGTTGATCTGTGTGTTCTCGAACTGAACCAGGTGCTGGAGCTGAGCCAGTTCATTGCAGGTATGTGGAGGGAGAGGCTGTGCAATGAATCGTCGCAATTGCATCGTCGTACTGACTTCTGCAATGGAATCATGTGCTTTTGGTTTCGTTCGTCCTTCGTTTGCTTTTCAGGAGGGTGGACAGGTGCTCTGTTGGCGTATTGGGGTGCCGACGTCATCAAAGTCGAGCCACCAGGGCTGGGAGATGGCATCAGGTGTGCGGCGGAGAGTGATGCATAGATGGGGGCGATGGATGGATGGCTGAATCTGTGTAGGAAATGGCGGAAGCTGGATGAAACGGGTAGGACCTGAGGGAAGAGGGGCGGAGCCTCAGGGGCACACGGCTTGTCTGTCACTCTTCCTCCAGGGACGTCGTTGTGGTGGTACTCTATCGCACGCAACAAGAAATCCTTAGCCGTCGACCTCCGCCAAGACGAAGGCCGCGATATCATTCGTCAGCTGGTCGCCAAGTGCGACGTACTCGTGGAGAACTTCAAACCTGGCACGTAGGGTGCCAGGTAGTGCTGATGAATCGAGGGACGGATGTTCATGCCAGCTTGTTTGCATTGATTCCATTGATTCGATGCAGCTTGGAGAAATGGCATATGAGCCCGACGACCCTGCGGGAGAGCCACCCATCTCTCATCGTCGCTCGCATCAGTGGCTATGGACAGACGGGGCCCTATCGCAGCAAGCCCGGATTCGCATCAGTGTGCGAGGCGTTCGGGGGCTTTAGATACGTGAATGGCATGCCTGGCGGGCCCCCGATTCGGCCGAACCTGTCTATCGGTGACACCTTAGCGGCACAGAACGCGGCTCTAGGGGTGCTGCTAGCCTTGCTGAGCCGGCAGAAGGCGTCGGCAACTGGTGGCGTGGGTGAGGGTCAGGACGTCGACTGTGCGATCTATGAATCGGTTTTCGGCTTGATGGAAGCGTGTGTACCCGAATATGACCGGCTGGGGGAGGTCAGAGAGCCGGCAGGGACAACCGTCACAGGTGGGTGGGTTAGCTGGCCTCCGACACAGCAGCAGCAGCAGCATGATGCGCATGTGAGTGCATGAATGACGCATGAGCGTGCATCTGTGGTGTGTGCAGGTATAGTGCCGACAGGCACCTACCCCTGCAAGGACGGACACTGGGTTGTCATCGGAGCGAACGGGTACAACGGTGCGTTGGCGCAGGTGTCTACGGATGTCTCTGTATGTGTGACTTGTGTTGCTTATCAGTGATTCCCTCTTCAAGCGGCTGATGGTTGCCGCCGGTCGACACGACCTTGCTGATGATCCCCGACTGGCTTCCAACGAGGGACGCGTCACACACCAGGAGGTGCGCAGTGGTGCTTGCAGGCAGTACATGCATTCATTTGCTGCTCGTCTGCCTGTCCTTCCGCCATGGTTCCATGCAGGAGGTGGACGGCGCCATCGCCGCGTGGACGTCAACACTAGCGTCTCATGAGGTGCAGCAGATACTCGAGGCTGGATTGGTCAGTGTGCCGGTCGGAACCATCTACTCGGTCGGTCTAGAGACTCACGACAACACATTCGTCCACGGCCCTCATGGATGTGTGGGGGGTTGCTCGGCAGGTGCGTGACATGTGTTCCGACCCGCACTACATCGCAAGGGGCATGTTCGAGCAGGTCCACACGGGGCCGACGCAAGAGCCCCTGAAGATCCCCGCCATCCCCCCCAAGCTCACGAAGACCCCTGGGCAGACAAACTGGGCCGGTCCGCGGTTGGGCGAGCACACGAAGGAGATCTTGGCTGGGTTATTGGGCATGAGTGAGTCGGGCCTGTCAGATTTGTGTGAGAAAAGGATCATACAGGCGGAGTGAGATGCGTGATGGGTCGCAATGGAAACCGAGCACCGAATCGATTGTATGTACGTTTGTTCATGTACACACGCAGTCGCTCATACGCACGGCACCGCGTTTCTCAAAGAAAGGCACACACGGCCTTGCAAATACGCGTCCAACAGACAGATGCACCGACACTGATCCCCACGCGCCCACATAAAGTCACCGAACAACCTCACATTCACACAGAACCCAGCCACCCCAGCCCCTCAGAGTGTCTAGTTGAGTGTCATGCGCAAATCTTCCAACTTGACCCCCATCTCTCCCATCACCCGCCTGGCGTCGTTCACACTCGTCGGAAACCCCACGATGCCGGCACTCACCCCAGCCACCTTCGGTTCGGTCGTGTAGATCTCCGTGCGAATGCGCGTGATGAGCTCTTGGGCCACCTCTATGTAGGCGGCAAAGGGGTCCGTCAGCTTGTCGCCCGCCAGCACCACAAAACGATGCCTGGCCACGAACTCGGGGAAATTGGGCAGATTGAATCCGTTCTGGAAGTCGATTGTCGTGTGGCTGGCGAGGGGGGCGTGGGTGAGCAGGCGAGTGGCGAGGGCATGCCGACTGTCGGTGCCGCTGAAGGAGCACTCCCCCCCCCTCTGGAAGGGCGAGTGCTGGAGGTGGGGCGGCAGGAAGACGCTCCCATAGCCCCTCCGACACTGGCAGATGAGCTGGGTGGCGAATCCCGAGAAGCTCGAGAAGATGTACGATTCGCCTTGCACCACGGCGGGGTTGAGCGGGTCATACGCCGCCCTGTATTCGTGGTCCATCGGCATCTCGTCACGGCGCAGCAGACACCGGAATCGCTGAAAATCACTGATGCAGAACTCGCCCGGCCGAGAGTCGCTGTTTGTGGTCAGACGAATTGCGCCATTGGCGAACTGACCGCTGAGTGCTGCGAACTGCGCCACTGCCTGCGGCATCTGCTCGAGGGCCGTCCTGCTGTACATGTGCTCGACCAAGGCGTCAGGATCTACCGTCAGCGGCAGCGGATCTGTCAGAAGTCCGATCTTGCTCGCGAAATGGATGGCCGGCGCCCATCGCTTCCGCCAGAGGCTGGTGCTCTCCACCAGATGAAGCGACTGCACCACGTAGCCGAAGAGCGTCAGTCTGTCCTTGAGTCTGTCGGGTATCTCGCCAGCCTCGCGGACGATGTCCAACAGCCGGTGCATCCCCGCGGCTTCGACGGCCTTGTCAAATCGCTGGATCATGGCGGTGAGGGTCACCAGTCGACGGGAGGTGGTGTCCGTCGCGCGTAGGGCGATGGAGGAGGGCACGTCACACATGTCGACGGCGATGATGCGGTGGATAGCGCCGTCCAGCTGGGCGAAGAAGAAACACACACCACCACGGGGAGGGGTGCGGGCACGATTCACACCAGACCGAGTAGCCATGCTGAGCAGATCGGAGGGAGCGTCAAGATCACATAGGATCTTTCTTGATTCTCAGTCGTTGTTGAGATGGTCTCCCATATGCTCTCTCTCCGTCGGCGCCTCCGCTTCTCCATTTGGTAGCTCGCACCGCGATCCGATCGGCGACGAAGGAGAAGAGGACAAAGGAGGGCGAGGAAGGATGGCGTCGGTGCGCATTGGCGGAAGGAGCCGCTAATCGGCCCTGGTGATGGAAAAAGGATCGCCCCCTTGCCCTTCAGCGACGCGTCAGGCGCCGTTTCCGCTTCGTGGCGCCTGTTGATAATTAATTAGCGTGTCTTTGAGATGTCTGGTGCTGATAGCGCCAAGCGGAGGCGCATCGACGGCCCGCCTGCCGCAGGTGAGCTGAGGGAGATGGAGAGGATGGGGGCGAAGCATGGTATGAACAGATGATGTGCTGTGTGTTGTCAGATCACGAGATGAGTGGGATGTCATCGCAGGACCCGATAGATGCCGCCCATGACGCATCGGTGGGCGTCTGTCCCATACACCTTTGACCGCCCTCTGTGCGCCATCACAACTCTGTGTGTCTTCTGTGTCCGTGTGCAGGCGGCCGGCGGGAGTCTTAGTTTTGAGGAGGTGCAGCGGCGCTTCTCAGTACTGCTGGCACAAGTGACACAGGTGAGGGACGCGATGACGATACACATCCACACACACAGCTCGGCCGTGGTGTTGGTCAGGTGGGGTGTGATGTGACGAACATTGAAGGCTCGTTCGTCGCCAATGTCGCTGCCAAGGTAAGAGGCTACATGCCAGCATCACTGCCGCCATGACTCATTCCTCTCTGTCTGTGTCGATGGCCTCAGGTGCCGTCTGCTTCCTCTCACTGGTCCACCCTCAAGAGCAGCATCTCGGCCGCCTCTGGCGCCCTCACCGCCATCACACAAGGCATGGCGGCCACTCGCCCACCCCCCACTCCTCCCCCAGCCCCCCATCCATCGCCTCCAGGTGCCTATGCCCCCACTCACACCACACACACTGGAGCTGCTGCTGATGTTGACAACGCGGCTCGTCGCACGGAGAACCGCCTGCCGACAGATCTCTATCGCGACCACATTGTCGGTTTCCTCCCCATCAGTGACGCAATCAGCCCAGCCCGCACGTCCAACACGTTCTACGGCACCGAGCTCATCAATGAGGACTTCGTGCTGCGCCGCATCGGCACGGACCTCACCCGCCGGTCACTGTTGGGCCTCATCGACGTGGAGAGGCCGTTTCAGTACTACACCAAGTGCGCGTATGCCCTCGAGCATGGCGGGGCGGTGTGGTGTGAGTGGCCCGACTTCATTCGGCTGGCTGACATCTACAAGCTGACGCCCTCGACTGGTCTGCCGCTGATCATGTCGCCCCAGTGGATGGCGGCCCACCTGCCCACCAAGGCCGACTTCCACACCATGCCCCTCGCCCTTCGCCAGTACAGCACATTCGGCCACCTCCTCAACTGCAAGGGCACCAGTCTGGTGCTCACAAAGCTGGATGAGGCCGACGATGGCAAGAAGGAGGGCGGGGGAGATGGAGGGGACGGTGGGGTGACGCGACAGCGGTATCGCATCGGAGTCGGTCGAGACGGTGCCGCTGTCCGCCCTCCCTCCCTCCCCAGCATCCCTACCGCCACACATATGACCCCCACAATCCGCCCATCCGCCACGCCCATCTCATCCGCCC